AAAAAAAGATCTTTGGAAAATCAATTTTTATGTTATAAATTTTATAATAAATCATAAGAAATTACAAATTTTAAAGACCTACACTGCAAATTTTTATTAATACAACTACATTTGTGTCTTAAGTGAAAAATGATCTTGATCTTATTCTAAATTAATTTATATAAACAAATTAATTTTAATAAATTTGTCAATTTCCTCCTTTCTATAGCACCTAGCCCATATAATAAATCAAATTTGTTATATAACAAAATTGAATATATTGAATTTGAGAATATGTCTTCAAGCACCTATTAGTTTATATAATTTGTATTATTAGTTATATAAAAATTATCTATATAAAAAACACATGATTTATCTTCTCATTAGTATCACAGTGAGTGACATAAGTATCTCAAATTTTTAATATGAATTTATAATTTAATATTTATTTTTATTTATAAAGCATTAGAATCATAATTTGAAAAGTTAACAATATCTATTAAAATAATAATTTTTGTAAATTTTAAGTAAGTAAACTTTAAGCAAAGATAACTCAACAATGATTTAACCAAATTTAATAAATTTTTTTATTTTAACTTGTATTATAAAATAAAACCCTAAAAAACTCTTTCTGCTTATCATCAGTACACAAAATTTTGTTACAATAATTTTTATGCTTTTCTCAATTTACAGAAAATTTTATTAGTTAACAACCTCTTGTCTCTTAATACAATTGTTCAGCTACTGTTTTTACATATATCTATAAAGTTTCAAGTCTGTATCTTTCATTGTTATTGAGATATTTGATTTACAAGAATAGACAAATAAACTCTGTTTTCTCTCCAAAGTTTTGTCCCTCCTGGCAAACTGGGCTTAATAATATACAGATACTCATAATTGAATTAGTAGAGCTTATCTCTGGCTTCAAAACAAGCTATAATACATCAAATTTGACCTAAAATTAACTATTTTAGAATCGAAAATATCAAAACTCTCTTTCTTACTTAAAAAGTTCTCTTCTAGTTTACCCCATCAAAATTGTTTGTGTAACATTTGGACCTGTATTTCTGATTTGTCTACACCTGACTAGAAACATAATTAATCCTTTTTAGGCAATCCATTTTACAATTAATTTATACAAATTAATTACCGCATTTTTGTTTATTTTATAATTAACTTGGCAACGTTACTTAAATTTTACTTAACTGTGCAACTTGTATTACACATGATCTATGTAACACATGACTAACTACTCCAAGAATACCATCAAATTTTTTTCGGTTACACAACATTTTGACCAATAGAATTTTACATTCTTAATCATGATCTTCTGTACTATATTCTGACCAATAGTATTTTATGTCTGCTTATACTTATACTGATATTATCAAATTTACGTTAAGGAACTTTTCCTTAGCAAACATAAGACAATATTAAACATTATAGACAACTCTGGTGTTTTTCTTGCAGAGTATATTTGTACTAACCATGTAATTAGTTTATTTATTAATGATATGTTATTATTAATTTTTTATACAAGGTGATGCAATTACAGTCATAATTAAAAGACTCGCCCAACAGTTGTAGAAAAATCCTCAAGTAGATTAGTGCCACAAAACTTAGAATCGCAAAGATGAAGTTAAAAAGAAATTTATTGTATACATTTGTAAAGAAACAAGAAGATATGATGGAAAGTATATTAAATTTAAAACAATCGTTCAGAACTTTTGGCTACTAGAGTATTTGATTGTATAAAGAAAAGTCAGTTTTGATTCTTAGCTGCTAAATACCTAAAAAATAATAGAAGAATTAAGGGATTAGATTAAACATAAATTTAAAATAAAATTACAATTATTAATTAAGAAATTTATTATGAAATTTTACAATATCAAATTTTGAAACACTTAATTATTTTTAAATGTAAATACAAATAATATTGCAAAGATTAGATCTGATTATACATCAGTACAATAATTTTTGAAAAATTAACGAGTCTTGAATTTTTTTTTAATTGAAATGCATGCTAGTTACATTCATAATTTGCTCACAGCATATTAATGTAAAAATTTTTAAAAAAAAAATTTTTTTGCATTAAAAATTTAAAACTGTTGATCATTTATTTGCAATTATTAGCTGAAGTTTGTCCAAAGAATCATACAAAGAATCATATCTTCTAATTATAATGCTTTTTGTTATTTTAAATCATGTGATTCGGATATCCCACCAAAGTTACAAGAAATATTATGATCGTCACCTTTAATTTGAGTTGGAGTTAATGGATAATTGCTGTTTGGCTTTTATCTCTAAGTTGGTCTTATTGTAAATAATAAAGTTTAATCAAACAAAAATAAAGTACAATAAAAAAAAAATCCCAATAACCTTTAAGTTAGAGTTAAACAATTGATTACTATTTTGTCTTCGTCCCTGTTTAGTTTTGTAAAATTAAAAATGCTCAATATTTAAAGCACTCAATAGTAAAATAACAACTATAAATTATTAAATACTTACATCTTGCATATTTAAAAACATTGTATGTTGATTATGGTCTTTCCAAGTACATAGGTTAGTTATCCTTCTTTTATATGATTTAATATCTGTTACTAAATTTTGTATGCCTTTAAAACTTCCTTTAACTAATTGTGCCCATTGAACATTATTGGCATTTTTTTGTTCATGCACAATTTCAAGTGTGTCATGAAGTAATAATTTATATTCTTCAAATATTTGTAATGATTAGTTATCGTTATCTTCATTTGAATTAACAATATCAGCTATATTATTGACTACATATATACATATAAAATAAAAATATATGTATAAGTTTATATTTATGTATTAACTTGAAAACACCCATTTCTTACCTATATTTGAGTGCATTAATTGTGTTGTTAAAGATTCTTGTAATAACGTATGTTGTGATTGTTGTAATAATATATATTGCGATTATAAAATATAAAAGGATAGATTCCTTGTTGCTGAATATTTTCAAAAAAAGATTTATTAACTGTAAATTGTGCTGCTTGAATTAAATGTTTACAAAAAAAAAATCAATTGGTTAAAAATCCTAGGCATCCACAAATCTACTTTTCAATATCAATTATGTAATTATGATTGATTTTTTTTTCTTTCAGTGTAATCCATTCTTTTTTGAAGTCTTTTCACCAAGAAGGCATTTCACACTTATAATAATATTTATTATATTGTTGCTTGTAATGTGGAATTAAGCGAGTAACTATAATATAAGTAAGAAAATCAAGACATGGCCTAAAAAACTTAGGCAGAAAGTCCTACTTAATTACTTTTCAGTGTGATTCACACAACATCGTAGTGTGAAAAAAGCAAATCTTGTTATATTCTGATTGTGGCCACAAACTCGAAACTTCTTTATGATACCAATTTTCCCACAGATAAGTCTACAGAAACTTTAAATCATGATGTATACAAAATTCATACATTTGTTTTGTCGATTGTTTCCAAATTTGATTTGCTGCTAAATAAAATCCATCCACATTTGGAATTAATGGATGAAAGTGCATATGTTGTTCCATCATCTCTATAACTTTAAGATGCAATTCTTTAGAACAAAAACAAAAAATTTTTTTTTGTGCCTGAGTTTCTTGTGATGATAATAGTGGATAAAATTCAATATTAATAAACTCAAAGTCTTGATGCGCTAAATATGAACTGTAATTAACTTTTTTTGGATATGTATTGTCAGCAAGACATTTTTTAACTGCTTTCTTCATATGCCAAAAACAAATTTGAATCTAAGAGTTTGGCCAAACTTTTGATACCGCTGAAATCTGGGCGAAATCTTTATCGGTCAGAAAAAAATTGATATTATTTAATCCTAAATTAAATAAGGATTCAAAGAACAAAGTTAAAATACTTGTATAAGCACCATTATTCTTTTTAGTTCCTTCAATATACAAGTAAGCAAGTGCAAATCTGGATCCATCATATTGACCAACTACTGAATAAAATTTATATTCTAGAACATTTGTTTTGTATGTGGCATCGACGACAATCTCATGATTATTTTTAATAAATCAAAAAATGGTGTCACAAAGCCTAAATATTTAATATTTTGATTGTTGAACAAAACGATCTTACATTCATTTTGTTCCACAATTATTCTTGCAGAATTTAATTGATCATTCTCATCATGAATATACTCTTTTTTTAAAAAGTAGGACCATCATGCGTGAACTTGTTTTTAAGTTAAGTTTGGATTTTGTTGTTCTAATTGCTTAAAAATATCTGCAGGTGTAAGATGAATATTCTTCTTTATTTCAACCTTAATATCATCAGATGTACTAAACCAATCTGGACACTTATGAAGTAAATTATACTGAAGATCGATCGTTGCTACGTTTATTTATTAAACATTATTTTTAAAACACCATTACAGGAAAATCTTTCAATATATCCTCTATCATGCTGTTTATGAAAATCCTTATGCTTTCGTGGACGTTTAGCTAATGTGCAGCTTTGTGAACAATTGTATCAAAATGTATATTTATCATGATTTTTTCAGACTTATAGACTCTATTATAACTACATACAAATATTTAATTAATTGTTAATATCAATAAATAAATATTATTATAGTTACTATAATAGTTATTAATAAATATATACATATTATTACTTATATATAATAGTATCCATCAGCAGATCCTACTATTTTGGCAATTTTTTTTCCAAGTTCATAAGGTTCACTTTTTAGTGAAATAGTCGATATCTTGCATGAAAACTCTACACCTGAATTTTCATTTTCAACATATTCATTATTTTCAACCTTAAGAATATATTCAAATAAATTTTTTTTCATTTCATTAGGTTCAATAGGATCTTGATTGCAAAGTACATTTTCATTAGATTTGGTAGCATAATAAGTTTTAAGTTTTTTTGCTAATATTCATAATATATTTTTGTAGGTTTTCCTTTATTGCTAATAAAAGCGGTTTGTTCAAAGCTTCTAGAACATTAATCACACTTGTACATATTAAAGATCACTTGTTATTTTGCAAGACAAAAATTTTTTTATATTCAAATATTTTTATTATATACTGGTGATAAGTAAAATGATCTAAATATAACACAAAAATTAAATATTTCAGTATGTAATAATGATAATAAAATGATAATTAAACTCTGAAACTGCTAGTAAAATACTATATATTAGTCAGAATATAGTACAGAAGATCATGATTAAGAATGTAAATTTCTATTGGTCAGAATGTAGTACAGAAGATCACGATTAAGAATGTAAAATTCTATTGGTCAAAATGTTGTGTAATTGAAAAAAATTTGATGGTGCTCTTGGAGTAGTTACACATAACTTGTATAACATGTGACTTATGCAACTTTAGACTTTCTAGATTACACAAGGTTATACAAGCAGCAGTAGTCATAATAATACCTCTGTAAATATATACACACTTATAACAAGTCTTTAATACATTACAGACCTATATCCTGAAACTTTTCTAAGAAACATAACAAAAAACATATCATTTCGAAGCTTATTCTATTCTCTTCTCAAATTTAGTAACTATTTCTTTATAATACCTCTTATTTAAAAACTATTTGAGGAAAATTCAATTAATATGTCTACATCAATTAAACAAGAACCTGACTTCTTAGATTTGGATGCTTTCTATCAAAATTATACAGATACGTTTGGTATCGTGTCTATAAAGATGAATTAAACAAAGCTAAATCTATGCTAGCTCAATTCAAACCCATTATCTGTATTACTAAAACTCTTCGTAACTACAAAGCTACACACTTCTTTTTAGCTTCTACATCTACTGCTACTGTTAAATACCTTTGCAGCAATTATCAAATCCACTTTGTCTCTCTAACTAACAAGCAATATAATACATCCTCTACAACCAATCCTACTACATCCAATAGTCAAATTAAAAAAACTTCAATCTGCTCTGGCCAGCTCAACTACTACTATCCCTACCTCTCCTATTTCAACAACACATACTCATATATATCCTAAATGTTGGCAACCAATTATCTGTAAAATTACTAATAGAAATCATATACTTTGAGACAATGTACTTTTTTATAGTAATGAAGCATATTATACTAAGTGCTTAAAAACCTACAAGAACAAGAACAGCAACATAAAACATCTGAAATAGAAACTGATGATAATGAAACTACTACACAAACTGATATATTTAATAATATTAAATTTATTTCTCAACGCCAATATCAACAATTTTTATCTGAACAACAAACTAGTCAAAAACAACAACACGTATCTAACAATAAACAACCTCATCAACAACAATTCTAACACTCTGAAAATAAACCTACTTTAGGCCTTGACTGGCTTAAAACCTATCCTATTACAGACCAAATGGAAGCCCATACTAAATTACAAACTACTTTATCTAAGCAATTATTAACTTTTCTTAAACAATACCTCTACAACTTCTACTCAGGTAGAGAAATTAAACCTAAAACCAAAAACAGACTAGCTCTTAAAGCATCCTTCCAATATATTATCCATGTAATAACTATTAGCAAACTAGAATTCCTATTTGAATTAATTTATAAAGTAAATCCAGAAGTTATATCTAATGCTTCTATTCCCTTCCAATTCTTTGAATCAACTCTTAGAAATCTTATTTTTAAATTTACTACTATTCTTTTCATCAAACTTAATTATATAAATATCTTTGAATTACTTGCTACCTTTTCACTCTATACTAACTCACAAAGACTTCTTGTCTGTCTTAATATTGTATGCCTGCATCTATACCTCTCTGATAATTACCAAACAATTAATTATGACAAATTCGCACAAGATCTCAACTTCACTTAAAAAAATTCTTTATTACTTCTGAGGTCTTTAGCACAGATATACAAGGAGAATAGTTTTTTATTAAATCTGATGCTAGATATAATACTCATATACAATTTAACTTACCTGTCTTTTTATTTTAAGAACAGTACAATATTCTTTCTCTTAAAGATTCTGATGCAACTTTTAACAAATGGTTTGACAAACAATTTTCAATTTATTGCAAGCAATTTTCTACTAATCCCAACTCAGATGAAACTCATTCGATAGTTCAACTTCAAATTTGTAAACAATTTACTTACATCTCACCAAATTACTTCCAACATCATTTAACTTTCCTAAACCAATCTCTGCAAGAAACAGAAAATTTCATTTAACTAAATATTTACTAACTATCATACACTTATATACAAAGATCAAAATTGTGCTTATAGAAACCTCAACAAAATTACTTACACAATAAAAAGAAACTTTATCTAGATACTCTCCAACAATTCTACAATTCTTTCTTAAAAAAACCTCAAGAAGATGAATCTACTTGGATTGAACCTAAACTTAACTCTTCTATCTTACATATTAGCAACAAATACGAAGCTACCTTTGCTAAACAAATACCTACATTTATACTAGATGAACTCACATCTGCAACTGAAGAAAAGGACTGTAAACTCAATAATATTAAAACAAATAAGAAGAGGCATGGCTACTACTTCTATCAATATTTAGCCTCTTATCATAAAATAGCTGCTCAAAATCATAACATCACTGATTTAACTAAAGAAGAAGCAATCAACCACCTTATAACTAATCCTATTAATGCTAACTTCCTTGCACATATTATAGTATATTATGAGAAAATCAACAACCAAAACCCTGATAAGCCACCTTCTATGTCCACTATTATTAGTTTCTTTAATAAAACCGCTTTACCTCAAGCAGAAGAAATACTCAAACAGAAATTCAACCTCAACTTCCAACCTGTCCTTTTGAAGATATGCTCTTTTTCGACTCTTCTCTTTTTCAGCAAAAGGGTTCAGAACAATGATAGAAGAATTAGCTCTGAACTCTGCTGCAATAAATTCTTATCTTATTATAACCTTCCAACTACTACATCTCCACATACTCTGTCATCTTATCTTTGTCTCCTTCAACAAATTAAATTTTCACAAAATTTTACTATTTCTGTTAACAAACAATTAACTAAAACACATATTTACCTTCCACATGAAAACACACTTCTTCCTAATCACAAACTGATTGAGCAATTTAACTATAATAAATACCCTTACTTACCTCTCAAATCTCTTAACACAACAAACAATTCATTAAACCTAAACATTGCAACCTACAACATCCAAGGCTTTAATAATCTAGAAAAAAAACTGCTTATAGAAGAATACTGTCTGCAAAACAACCTACATATTATGTGTTTAACAGAAACTAAAATAGCAGAAACTAAGAACAAAAAATTTTACAATAATCAAAACTTTACCTACTACTGATCAAACAGTCCTACATCCAAAGAAGGCACATGCATTTTAATTCGTAACAACCTACAACCACATATCCATAATATCCACAACCACCCTGGTAGAGCTATTGCAATAGACCTATTTTTCAAACATGATAACAAATTTAGAATTATCTTAACCTACTTATTGTCTACAAATAGTCTAATATGGAAACAAACTCAATCAACTATCATTAAATGGATACAACAAGCACAGCAACAACAATTACATATCATTATTCTAGGAGATTTTAACTCATCAATTCCAGTTAATATATCTAATGCAATCAAGTATCAACTCTTTAATTACTTGTATAGTACCAATATGTATGACCTTGCTAGTTATACAAACAATACAGAAACCACCTGGCAAAGCAGTAGATACCATAGCAGAATTGACTATATATGGGCTAGTGAACATACTATTCCTTTCCTTGTCAAATTCCATATTGAAGATTCATTGCAAGCTACCAATAGTGATCACCAAATCCTTATATCACAATGGACATTTCCTTTTGCACTCAAATACAGAAGGAAAAATAAATGCAAATGCAGAACTTTTAGCTACCAAGCAATAACAAAAGAAAAATGTGAAGAATTTACTAATCAAGTTAACATTAATATGCAACACAACAACATCAGACCTCATATACTAGTTTCAGATTCACTGGAAAAGCTTTGGAATAAAATATAT